AAGATATAGCTCATCTTACAAAAATAATTTGACTACAGGATTTACAGGTATATGCAGAAATATAGTTTGACTGCAATACAGGGATACAATTAAAATTTGATTCATGTCTGGTTTGGTTAAGATGTCAAATTAGCATTTACAGATCTAAGGTAATGTAAGAAAAGCCTAACAGATCTTACAGAAAATTTAGTAACTCTCTGCAGCATTGAATTGAATTAACCACACTCTATGAGTTTGTTCTTGTAATGTAAGACAGGCAATGTTAAGCTGCGGTGGAATGATGAATCACTGCTGATAACTCCCTTAACCAATCATTGTAAATAAAATTTAAGGATTGTTTCTTTGATGCTTTTTCAGAATTCATAAACCATTTATATTAGTGGCAAAAAGGGTGTGGTTCCCTGTAAGTTTATGTGAAAATCCCTGCAATCTGGTATTTTCCACTGACAATGAGTTAATCCTAATACACTGGCATAACCAAAGTTCTGTACTCTCATAAAATATGCCTTAATTAATATATTTGTGAAATAAGTACAGTAAATGATTTTTCTTTTAAAATACTGTAATCTTGATCATCCATTTATTATAACATGTCCTGCTTTTAATAAAGGCTATAATTTGACATTAGCATGATCATTGTAGTCTTATCCTTATTATTACTACAGTTAATATTAAACATTAAAAAATGCGGAAATAATTTGCTATTAATATTGCAGACTGTAATCAGGATATTTTTAAACCCTTTAAATATCTCTCTGTAATGGATATTCTACCTCACCACATCTTATATATCTATCATATTGTTTTATGTTTCACATTTTTAGTCTCTGATTAGTTGGCAGAATTTCGTCAATATACCTATATGGGTTCCATGACATTTGCTCACAAGAAGAACCTAGCCTAACCTAACATTTGTCCTCCTTTCCATTAATGTTGTGAGTATTTGTCTTGTGAGTATATGCCTTGTGAGCATTTGTCTTGTAAGCAAAAGTCTGCACATCACCTATATGAATCCTCACTGGTGAGGTTCCATGCATTTACATGTAATATTTTTCCATATAAAAGAGCATTTAAACAGCGGTTACTTTTCTTCAACTGCTGGTTTAGTCCTTGTTATTAACATATTGTATACATTTTTACTACTGACATTGGGAAAGTGCTCATCTATTGCTATCTTTCTTAAGGTATTGATTGCATTACTATAATCAGGTGGAGACAAGTAAGAAAAATTATCTCAAGGTTTCATATCTTGTAGATAACTGGTCCTTATACTTGTATAATATGAAAGTAAAGAATTTTGGTACAAAGATAATTTCCCGTTTGATAGACAACTAACAGTTATGGTGATATTTTTCAAAATGTTATCCCAATTCATCTGTACAGTGAGTTCATAACAGCCATAGCAAAATTATAATACCTAATACCCTGTACCTTGGTATATTTTACTGACTTCATCCACAGAACAGGCCAAAATTCTCTTTTCTTACACTCACCCAACCCCAAGTTTGTGACAAACTTAATACTTTATTGTTGAAAATTTAATAAGGACAAAGAAGAAAGTAACAAACTACACTCTATTCCCTTGTAGCGCCTGAAGAATAATACTGTATTATGTAATATATTATAATGTAATTATGTTATATAATGTAATGTAATATAGTTAACAGATGCCTATAATTGTTGTAATTAGCCATTCTGCTCCTGTAACTGTTGTTGAGTCGGCTGGCTGACGTGGCTGAACTTGGTCGAGACTTGAGCGGAGACAGCTTCGTTCAGTCAGCCGGTATATGTACTCGTGGGCTGCCTCGGAAACGACGTGCCTTCTACCGAAATTGTCAACATAATATACACACCTGAGAGCACTGCAAATCAAGAACCATCGACTCAAGAACAGACTATCTCAGACATACAACCCGAGCCAGAAAGCGAGGAGGAAACGATGGATGACGAAAACGAAGATGAAACCACCACAATAACAGAACAAGCCGCCAGATTCAGCACCCCAAAAAGAATCAAGCAGGAACTATGGCACCACCACCTTCACCCAGAAAGACCACGGAGAACGAAGACCTTGGGTATGAAACTGGACTACGTTTTTTCCCCACTACAGCTCCCCCCATAATCTCAAGAGAGAGACTGTTGGCAGAAATAAGGCAAGGCAAGATAAAATATACATACTCAGACAAAACTCGAGATGACACACATATTTAAACACTAATTAAGAAAGGAAGAATCATCACAAGACACAACAGAATAGAGAGAGTTGATCAGTCAACATTTAAAAAGATCCGCCTGGGCCTACTGACGGACAAGAGGGGGTCAGGGGAACACCGGTCAGCAAAAATGGCGCAAACCAACTCTTGGCTTTCATAATAAACAAACTTAAAATCCAACACAATGTTTTAGCATGGATCCCACCGAGAGCAAGTGAACTATATAACACATACCGTAACATAGAGCCAGATATTATTCTCATAAATTCGCATGGTAAGAAAAACTCAGAAAAAAATAACAATATTTAACTACACAGTCTACCAAAAAAACAATCAAGACCCACAACATGATGGAATTGCCATAGCCATCAAACGAAACATACAACACAAGATACACGATTCAGTTCAAGAAAACTTTCTGGCGATCGAAATTAACTGCCCAACAGGACCTATTATAATCGACACCTGTTACCTCCCTCCGAGAAGACCCATATTCCCACTAGCAGACATGCTCAAACTGATGAGAAGAAATATACCAGCATATTTTCTGGGTGACCTAAATGCACGACACCGCGTCTTGGGGCACCAAGATAACAACGCCGTCGCCGTAGGGCAGATTTTAAACACATTATTGAGTCACGGCAACACAATACACCTTGGCCCGGAATTCCCCACATACATCACAGCAGGTCAAATTGGACATGTAGACATAGTACTAACAAACCAGCATCATCATCTTAACCTGCAAATGGAACCTGGCCCAATAACCACCAGTGACCATCTCCCTATCATACCCACACTCTCCTCGTCGCCAATACAGATCCCTGTCAGGATGAGATACAGCTACAGCCGGTCCAACTGGGAGAAATTCCAAAAGGAGTTAAACAATCACCAAATCACCCAACTAAACAACAAACACACTTCCCAAATAGACAACACACTGGAGATATGGTAAGAAAACGTGAGCCAAGCAATGGAACACCACATATCCAAGACCACTCACCTTACATTACCACACCCTCAATACTCACATCAATCAAGAATTCTACAAACACAATTCAGTAATTTATTAAAAATAATCATAGAACAAGGATGGACGCCAGAATTCAGAAGACAATATTACACCATACACGAACAACTAAGAAACATGTCCAAAGAAGCATACGTGAATAACTGGGAGAAATTAATAGCAGACACAGAAGCAATTTACCACAACCCGAAAGAATTCTGGAGGAAAATTAAACACCTAATGGGAATCTCCAGCAACGAATCAAACTGCATTCTAAATAGTAACCAAATCAAATTAACTGAACCCAAAGAACAAGAACCTGAATTCAGGAAATATTGGAGCAAAATATTTCAAATAAGCCAGGAAGACAACCTGAACTTCTGTATGAACACCGAGCGACAAATTACCAATCACATGACACACACACCAATTTCTCTTCTAGAAACATCGTGTGTATTACAACGCCTTGTTGACTGTTTATGGAAGCGTGTCTTAGGACTGGCTCCAAGTATGGAAGCTAGCTCAACTTGCAAAGTAGAGCAGAAAGCCTACATAGGTAGACAGTTTCATACATTTTTTATCGAGTCACCTGGAATATACCAAAATGTCATTTTTTTTCTGCTATGTTTTGAGATGTTTGCGTATTTGTGACGCTGAATTCATTGATGAAGAACTGAAACACATTCAGTCTATTGCATAAAAACTTGGGTACCCTTCATTGTTTGTTAATCATTGTTTTAAAAGGGCTAAAAAATCCTTTCATTCTACTCAAACCAGGCATATTCCTACATTTAAGAATATTTTGACTGCCTTATCGCAATGAATTTGTCCCGTTAGTTCAGTCCCTTAAATTATTAAATATCAATGTTGTTTTTAAGTATGACTCAACTATTACCCACATAAATTAATCAAGAATAGCCCAACCTTGTATGATAAATGGAAGTGTTTACTGCATTCCATGTAGCAACTGTAATGACAATTATGTAGGACAGACTGGGAAAGCATTGCAACTCCGAATTAAACAGCACAAGTACAATATCAGAACAGCATCTGAAAGCAGTGCACTGTTCGTTCATGTTAGGAACAATAATCATCCCATGGATTGGGAAAACAGTTTAGAAGTGTACAAATCATCATGTGTCACAGAAAGTCTTCTGGTTGAAGCTAGTTTGATTAGGGAATTGAATTCTATAAACCTTAGTGATGGTCAGTACAAAACTGATATGTTACACAAATTTATTTGTCAGTGACCCAAGGTTAAAAATGCTTTGAAAGCATTGGAGTTAGATGTAGGCTAGATGATTAGTGGGTCCCATATTTTTTACCTAACTTAACTTGACTTGTCACGTCGCCCTTTCTCTTAAGCTCCTTTCCGTGTGTGTTCGTGTTGGTGTGCAGATTAGTGGATGTCATGTTTATGACCTGACCTCATGTTTAGTATGGTCACCCTGTGTACTTAAGCCTCTTTCTGTCCATGTGATTCAGTTGCCTCTGAAGATGTCTTGAATAAAGACGAAAGCTAAGGTGCTCCATTGTTTCCCTTTCCCTGTGTGATTTTATCAAGATTTATCTTATCCACGTTTTCATTGTGGATCTACATGAAATATATATACAGGTATATATATATATATATATATATATATATATATATATATATATATATATATATATATATATATATATATATATATATATATATATATAATCAGACCTTTGCTTACGGCTTAAAAAAAAACTAAATTTATGATGGACAATCTCTCTCCTATATATTCACTAACCTGTATACCTGTCTCCTTCGTTGGACGGATGGTGAAAACTGTCTCGGTTGATATTTATATGTGTGCACTAGGGAGTGAAACACTGAGGGGTTATCATTAATGAGACGCTTATCTGTTATCTCTGTGTGGCAGGTGCAGGGGCTACATGATTAGTCATGACTGCTTGGATGTTTAACAACGACCCCACATTGGATGACAATTTAATGCTGACACTGTTGTATCACCATAAAGTGTACTCCCCTATTAAGTCATGTTCACAGCATCAGATATTGTGTGGAGACTCCCTCAACTGCTGTGTATAGGAAGAGTTGGTCAAAGCGCCCCCGATAGAGGACAGCTAAAACTTCTCATATTTGTTTTTGTTTTCACATTTATTTCGTCACAAGCGAGAATTCTTTTCTCCATAATTAGATGAATAAATTATGTCGGTAATAAACTAGTCTGGTTTTGGGTTTAATTTTTTTTTGTCGTGGTGGCAATTGTTGGAAAATTCCTGAATATATTTAGTATCCTTAGAGATTTATCTGATAATATTGTCTTTACATTTGTCATTTATTAATATCATTGTACATTCAGGAGCCAACAGTGCGTAACAGAGACGTGACCTATCGCCCAAGCGGTTAACGAGTCGATCATTTGGTGAAGAGGATGAAAGAAAAAGAAAAGTAACAGAGACGTGACTGATCGCCCACGCGGCTAACGAGCCGATCAGTGGTGAAGGGGATAAAAGTAAGTAAAGTACTTTTAAGTTTCTGGGAGTATAGGTAACAAACAACAAATGGAGCAGATTCGTTGACTGCTTCAAAAGGAGGGTTAGGGTTCACATTTCAAGATTTTCATTACACATAATGAATTAAGGTAATTTACAGTACCTTAATTCATTATGTGTGAAAAATCGTCTCCAGTGTTGGTCAAGTCTTGTCTTGAAATAACTCACACTCGGTGCCGTCACAACACTTTCTTGTAGATTGTTCCAAGAGTTCACAACTCTCACTACGAAAAGGTTTGCCCTCACAGTTTTCTGGACTTGCTGCTTCTTCAATCTTGAGCTGTGACCCCTTGTGGGGCGAGCGTCCGCCAGCTCCAAGGACACTCGACTGAGTAGTGCCCCTTGAGGTGCATCCTCTTACACTTCGTGACATTGAATCTCAGCAGCCATTTCTTCGACCATTCCTGGAGCCCATAGAGGTCCTTCTGTAGCTCTTCACAGTCCGCTTGGTTCTTAATTTCCCGAAATAACTTGGCGTCATCGGCAAACCATTGTATGGAGGAGTGTACAACGTCAGGCATGTCATTTATGAAACAGCTTTTCGTGGGATACACTGTCGAAAGCCTTGGCAAAATCTAGGAAAATATTGTCGATATTACCACCCCGTTTCAGAATATGGGTCCAAATACCCAATACCTTGAGCAATTGTGTTAAGCAGGAGCGCCCTGGCATAAAACCGTAATGGCACTCCTTTACAAGGTTGTTTCGTAGTAGATGTTCCATTGCGGCATCTCTGATAATACTCTCAAGTACTTTACATAATATGCTGGTCAGGCTCACCGGTCTATAGTTGTTCGTGGAGTGACGATCGCCCTTCTTGAAGATAAAGTAGGACTCACAAAAGCCACTTTCCATTCACTGGGGACCTTTTGCTCATCCAGGCATTTACAAAACAGGATCTTCAGGGGCTCGGCAAGCTCGTTGCACAACTCTTTTAGCACTCTAGGATGCACCATGTCAGGGCCGGGACTCTTATGGACCACTAGCTTGGACAGTTTATTTCTAATACCCTCTTCTGTGAGCACAATGTGGGTCAGTGCTGTGTCGAACCGTCTGTCCTCAAACGCAGGAAGGTTAATCGCATCCTCTCTTGGGAAGACCGAGGAAAAGGGGCAGTTCAATGCCTCAGCTTTATCCTGGTCAGAATCTGCGTAACTACCATCTTCAAGCCTCAGGTCTTATACTCCTACTCGCGTTTTTAATTTCGACTTTGCATAGCTGTAAAACGCCTTTGGGTTTAACTTGACCTCGCTTGCAACCAGGTTATATTAAGTTAACCAATCCCGTGTCCATTTTTTATATTGTTCATATACATTTTAGCCATTAAACTATTAAAATGTTGCATACTTTCACAAGACCCTGAACCAAAATTGCACTTAATTAATTAGGGGATTATTGTATTTTAGCTGAACCCTTAAGTATCTTTAGTAATTATGTATGCAATAATGTAATATACTATAGCGCTAGGCGTGTGTGTCTGCTCTGGGCAGCCGAAAGTGCACAATCGTTTTTCAACAAACTTGATGGAAAAATCGCATAAAATTCGTACAGTGGAACAAACCTGGTCCCATATCGATGGTTTCTTTAGGAAGCCATTACATAACCATTTTATTTACGTTGGAAAACGATTGCAGTTATCGTACGGCTCCCTCCTCCTCCCCCCACTTTTTTCTTAGCCTACTTTTTTTTTAATGTTGTTTGGATTAGTAAAGGAAGGAAGATGAATAAATAGAAGAATAAATAAGGAAGGGGAAACAGAAAATCGTTCGAGATAACTGGTGGGGGGAGCTGAGTTTCATCATGCTACTGGATGCGCATTTACCAGACGACCTTACAGCTACAGTGTATACTTATTCCTGTGGGTGGAAAAGGAGAAAAGATACAAAGATAATAACAGGCATGCATGGAGAAGATGACTACAATAGACACAGGGTGAATATAGACAGTGAAACAGACAGGAGGTTGACAAAAAAAGACAGATTCATAAATGCACAAATAGACAATATGGCATTATGGCAACTAACAGGACAGACAGACAGCTGACACACGCGAACAACGGATAAGACAGACAGATTTGACGACACAAGGAGTACAGACGGGCTTACATTCAAATACCACGCAGACGAACAGACAGTTGGGATGGCAATAGACAGGACGAATAGACTCGAGACAGATTAAAAGGCATTTATAAACAAGAATAACACCAAATTGACCATAGCTGCGTCAGTGAGGGGAGGAGGTCTTACATCCACCAGCGTAAATAATAAGACGCATTGAAAACTAACACCCTCGCGCGAAAAGAACATCGATGGTCGGTCAGTCATGTGGGATGGGCCTAAAACTGACTAACGTAGATGATGACTATGATGACTTAACACAGGTGATGACTTAAGCAGATGGTGACTATTCTAACCAATATAAAGGTCACTTCTCTTCATAATATAACTTATCTCGGAATGATCATCGGTGATTCATAATAATTTTTATTTTTTTTATGATTTTAACCTCTCCTTATGGAGAATATTTCTTTAACTATTTATTCTAACCTTTATTCTATTCCTTCTTATAGTATATTAGATAGTGTATGTATCACGACCACTACCATAAATATAACAATCACGACCATGATTATAACAACCACGACCATGACTATAACAACCACGATCATGATTATAACAACCACAACCATGATTATAACAACCACGACCATGATTATAACAACCACGACCATGATTATAACAACCACGACCATGATTATAACAACCACGACCATGATTATAACAACCACGACTATGATTATAACAACCACGACCATGATTATAACAACCACGACTATGATTATAACATCCACGACTATGATCATAACCACGACTATGATTATAACAACCATGACCATGATTATAACAACCACGACCATGATTATAACAACCACGACCATGATTATAACAACTTCGAATATGATTATAACAAACACGACCATGATTATAACACTCATGACCATGATTATAACAACCACGAATATGATTATAACAACCACGACTATGATCATAACCACGACTATGATTATAACAGCCACGACCATGATTACAACAACCACGACCATGATTATAACAACCACAACCATTATTATAACAACCACGACCATGATTACAACAACCACGACCATGATTATAACAACCACGACTATCATTATAACAACCACGACCATGATTATAACAACACGACCACGATTATAACAACCACAAAAATGATTATAACAACCACGACCATGATTAAAACAACCACGACTATGATTGTAACAACCACGACCATGAATATAACACCCACGACCATGATTATAACAACCACGACCATGATTATAACAACCATTACAACCACGACCATGATTATAACAACCACGACAATGATTATAACAACCACGACCATGATTACAACAACCACGAACATGATTATAAAAACCATGACCAGGATTATAACAACCACGACCATGATTATAACAACCAGGACCAAGATTATAGTCACGACCATGATTATAATAACCACGACCATGATTATAACAACCACGAACATGATTATAACAACCACGACCATGATTATAACAACCACGTCTATGATTATAACAACCACGACCATGATTATCATAACGACGACTATGATTATAACTTTCACGACCCTGATTATAACAACCACGACCATGATTATAACAACCACGACCATGATTATAACAACCACGACTATGATTATAACCACAAACATGCTTATAACAGCCACGAACATGATTATAACAACCACGACCATGATTATTACAACCACGACCAACATTATAACAACCACGACCATGATTATAACAACCACGACTATGATTATAAAAACCACGACCATGATTATAGCAACCACGACTATGATCATAACCACGACTATGATTATAACAACCACGACCATGATTATAACAACAAGGACCATATTATAACAACCACGACCATGATTATAACGAATACGACCATGATTATAACAACCACGACAATGATTATAACAACCGACCATGATTATAACAACCACGACCATGAATATAACAACCACGACCATGATTATATCAACCACGACCATGATTATAACAACCACGAATATAATTATAACAAGCACGACCATGAATATAACAACCGCGACCATGATTATAACAACCACGACTATGATTATAACAACCACGACCATGGTCCTTAACCGACCAGCAATACGTAAAGTGCCTGGAGTGTCAGAGGTGTGGGAGTGTAGGAGGTGTACCTGGGAGTGTCAGGAGTGT